ATTTTACAGTGGGGTCATTTTGGTGCAGTAGCACGAGATAGCTTGATTTCAAACTTTGAATTGAATAAAAAATGACAAGGAGGCTAAGCAGTTAATAATAAAATAAGAACAAATAAAGAAATTACTAATGATAGCACAAATAAAAAATAACGACAGGCCTTCGAATTAAATAAATTGCTTTTTAGTTTTTTCAGGTAGGTCTAACAGTAGGGTTAAGATATTTAACTTTTTTTTTTTTTACCAATTATCCAAATAATGTTTAATCCTAGAAAGCTATTATTATCAGAGGACACATGAGCATAAAGGTTAGCAGATCAATTAATGAGAGGGCAGCGTTACCAGAGTTGCATACCACACTATGTTACAACACAGTAGGGCTATTGCAGACAGAAACAATACTGTACTAGGCCTACATCGATGTTTCCTGTCGGCTCATTTTTTGAGTGGACTTTGCTGTTCCGATGAGCATGAACGGTATATGAGTGGAGCACTCACATGGGCCGTGAGTGACTAAGCGGGGCACACACACGCATAGAGGGGGATAACACGCAGAGCGTCACACCACGTGAAAGTGAAACCTGAGCGGTGAACTAATTTTCGGCAGCCGAAATTTCGGTGCATCTCTAATTATTGGCGACATCAGAAATGGATATTATATAATAGATGCTTTTTTGAACATTTTAGCAATTTAAAAATATTAAAAAATGATTTTTTTTACACAGGCCACGGCACCCCTGCTCTCGACAGACGGCACCCCGGTTGGGAAACACTGCTTTAAACCCTTCTATGACATTTCCTGTGTTGTCATGCATTGTGAAACAGGTGCAGAATATGAACAAACTTACTTTGGCAGAACCAGGATCTGAACGATGAAAATGCAGAAGAATATCAAGCAGGCACAGGTCACATAATATTTGAAGGCCGGCAGGGTCGTTGCTCTATACTGCAGGGAAAGGACACACTTTTCTCATCCAGAATCGAACAATTTGGTATTTTTTTATTTAGTTGACTGATTTGTTTCATTCTGTCTTATCGTGGATGGCAACAAACAGGTTTATGTTTCAATTATTTATATGGTGATGTATTATAAAAAAACTATGGATGACTCTATTTCAGATTAACATAAGCTTACAAAGTATCAGTGCTTACCTCTTTTTCCAATGCTTTATTGTGGAAAAACAAAGATATTCTCTGAATGTCCTCCGATTTGAGCCATTGTCTATGGAAATAAAAAGACACGTATAGATAAAACCAACCAACAAAGAACTGGAACATTAAACATCATGGGCAAATAAAGCAGAGATATAAGATGACCTACTTTTGAGAATTGATGCCATCAAAAGTTCGAATCATCCTCTCGTTGAGTTCCTCCTCAAAACGCTTCTTCTGAGATTTTGTTCTGAGGAGGGCACTGACTTATTAATGACTCTGTCTATGCTGATCTCTTTGGCATGCATTCATAAATATAAAATATATTTACCATTTCAATTAATTCTATACATATTAATTGTACTGTATGTATTTAAATACTATGTTTATTACAAAAGGGTCAAAACTAGGATCACTAGGATTGAGAACAGATTAAATATGTCACCTACTGTAGCAACCTACCCTTTAGTAGGCTAAAAAACAATGTTACTGTTGGAAAAAGATACAGAAGTTAAATCACCTCTCTGAACGCCTCTGAAAGTGGTACTGGCCCATGGGGACATCCTGTTAATAAGAAAAGAGTAGGTGGTGAGTAATTTTTAGCAGTAGGGACATCTCAAACAAATAAAAGTCACAAGAACAAAAGCTGTTTTTATGTTTTTGTAACAATTTTTAAAATGCATTTATATTTATTTATATGATATTAACATTGACATCTCAAACACATAAAAGCCACAAGAACAAAAGCTGTTTATATAGGTTTTTGTAAAAAAAAAAAAAAAACATTTATAATTATTTATATCATATTAACATGTATCGACAGCTACATATCAGCTACATATGACATATGTCCAAAAATTGTATTACACATATATGAACACATATTTGTATGATCTAGATATATGTGGTAATATATACAATTCCAGTTTCGGTAACACTTTATTTCGATAGTCCACTTTAGACATTCTATTAACAGTAAGTAACTTTGCAACTACATGTCAACTAGCAGTTAGTAGAGTATTAGTAGACTGTCTGCTTAATATCTTCTAACACTTTCTTTGTCAACTTATTCTACTAACCCTAAACCTACCCTAACAGTCTACTCTGAGAGTTAGTAGACATGTAGTTGCAAATTAATCAGAATTAGTTGACATGTAGTTGACATGTAGTTACAAAGTTACTTATAGTTAATAGAATGTCTAAAGTGGACTATCGAAATAAAGTGTAACCCCAATTTCTAATAGGTTTCATACTGTATATGTTTGTCTTACGTCATGTGACAATCTATTTCAAAAATGAAAATGTAATATATGTACATATATTACATTTGCGTATGGGACTGGTGGGTCTTGAACTGTAAATAGGATGAAAATAGGATGAACACAAATATCACAACTAACTATATAATTGTGCATAGTTATATATTAGAATAATATTTGTATTTATTTATTTTTATTTCACATCAAAAGCTGATTTACCTCACTTGTATATTAATTTTACCAAGTGCTATTTATGAATTTTAAGAAGTGTCAAGTTTTAAAAATTAATTTAAGGATATTTTTATTTACTTTTGTACATTAAGCAGTTTAACTTTAAAATCTCCACTCTAAAATCTAGGCCCTGAAAAAAAAAAAAAAAGAAGAAAGGGAGGACTGTTGAGAACTGCTATTGGAGAGTTCATAGTGTCTCATAGGCAAGCTCACAGCGGTGTTGATTTTTCCATTCTCATTGGTCATGCTGTCTCTGTGGTGAAGGTTGGCGAAAGGCTTGGCTGCACCCCATGACTCCAGGTATCTGGTCATCCTCACTGAAGCTCTCATTTTAGTCCCATACATGGCGTGTCTGGGTCTGTAGTGGTGCTGAGGACTTTTTCTCTCTGCCTGAAAAAAACAGACCACAGTCTAGACAAACTTCACTAAACCTATTCAGCTGCGTTTAGTAAGTGCCTTGGATAGCTTAGTAACATGAAAAATATTGCCACAAGATTTTGTAAAGACAGCAGCATCAGCAATAATGGCTAGGCTTTGAAAGAAAGCTTTAGACTTGAAGGAAACAAAAGCGACTGTTCATTTGTTCTTCATACCTTTGGGTTGATCACTAAGTAGGTTACAACTCCATGCTCTTTTAGATAAGGATCACGCTCCTGGCCATCTCCATCTTCAACCTTATATGCCCCATTCAAGTGCTCAAGAGTCACTGAGGTGATGTGGACTCGTCTATTCATCAAGAACTTGCAATTACTATCGTTTTTCTGACCAGATTGTCAACAATTTCACATCTTCTACAAACTGAAAATGCATATTATAATTATGAATAGCTTTAATTAAAAATTAAACAAACAATAAAATAAAACCCCCACAATGGCTTACCCAGGTACACCACCTGCTTCCATGTGATTGGCTAAAGTCACATCATGTGACCAGACATCATATTGCCATTTCTGGAGGCCAATCACACCACAGAGAACGTTTCCAGAGTGAACACCAACTCGCATGTTAATGTCCACTCCTGTGGCGTCTCGCACTTTCCTATACAGAAAAGGAAGAAGGAAATAACAACATACCCCATCAGACACCAGAGCATCGATTTAACCTTATACCATAACACGATTAGAAACACATTGAGACAAGATACATGGCTTTGACCTTTTAAAAGGCACGACCTTTTGAATGTTGTTTTTGTCACTCCAATTCACAAGTTGCAAGAGATGCATCAAAAGTGGTGAGCATGACCCTGTTGAAAATTAATCATTTACTCAAACCTGTGACTTTCTTTCTTCTTTAGAGCATAAAATAAGATGCTTAACAACATGCCCTAGCTGTTCTTTTCCATACAGCGATCTGAGGATTTCAAGTTCCAAAAAAGCACCGTAGGACAACAAAAGTAGGCCCTGTGTTTCTTATGTTATATTACATGTCTTCTGTAGCCATACAATTGCATCATGTGGGGACAGACTAAAATTTACATTAACTTATAGCTCTTAAATATTTCTTTAGCACATTCAAACCTGCAGTTTCGTGATCAGTCACAAGTGATAACAGACCCTGATCGATATGATTTTGTAATTTATTAAAAAATGTTCTCAGCCGTTAGAACATTATTTAAAATTTCTTCGTTTGGTTTCCACAGAAGAAAATAAAAGGGGTTAGAAAGACATGACACTGAAAAATTAACAACAAATTAAATTTTTGTGTGAATTATTCATTTTATAAAATGGTGCTGATCTATAAAGCATTTATTGGCACTTGGTTTAAAATGAAAACTAAAGTGTTTCTACACTATGGCTTAGAATAAGTACTCAAAACATACAATATAGAATGTTCACAGAATATTCATAAAATGTACTCTTTTTTTTTTTTTTGGTTGATAATACGTTATTCTACAACACTGTGTTTCCAACCAGTTTTCTTGCAATCCTTAAACAGGAATTCACAGCACATTTTCCAACACCACAATTTGCCAGGGACTACTAATAGAGAGATTTCATTCTTCCAGGTTTCTGCAGAACTGGCAGAGATAAGAGAAAGACAGCTCTCTCGTCTAGACTCAGCACCAGTCATTTTCCACAGTCTGACCTCTGAGGCCTCCGACTCATTATCGGGATGGCCAGGTATCATGTCCTTCACAGCAGTACTGGGCCGAGACCAATCAGCCCCTCTGCGCGGAGGATTATAGGACTGGAATAGAAGCTTTGCTGCTGGACTGACTCTGCCTAAATTCTATCATAGAAATAGAGCACACAGTTTGCTTAAATCCTGGTCTATTTATTGTATAATAAAATGCTTTTAATTTGATGCAATGAAGTTACATGTAAATAGAAACAGAATGATGATTTAAATTATATACAGTATGTTCTAATCTCCAGTGGTAATGTGCAATAAAGCCAGATGTTAACAGTGTTGTTCTTTAGAGACAAAGTGTGAACAGGTCTGCAGAATATATAATAATTATGAACCTAGGACAGATGTTTTCAAGCTAATCAGAGGCAAAGAATCTTTCAGCTAAGATCTAAAAGAAACAACAGATGTACAAGCTCTTTGGAAATGTGCAGTTTGACAGATGTTTAGACTGCTGGTTCTCAATTGATTTTGCTGCAGAACCCAGATTGTAGACCTTAAGTACCAAAATTGTTTATTGTAGTATTTAGTAGTAGTAGGTCAAATTAGTATTAAAAACACCACTGATTGCAGACATGTGGGGCTGAACTTACTTAATAGCTTCGCACATGTCAAGACCCATCTTCACACAGTTGTTGGCATGATTTGGCAAGGACTCTGGGAGGCCAGATACACAGTAATAACAGTCCCCTAAAATTTTAATTCTCATACATTCATTTTCCTGAAACACACAGAAACAATCAAGAATGTCAACAGCCAGATTTTTTTTTTTTTTTTAATTATCTGCAACATTTGGTTTGAGTTTTACAAAGTAATATATTTTCCAAACCAGAAGGTTTATATCAATAAAGTACATGTCAGTCACTGGATTAGGAGATCCAGCTTACCTTGGCAATCTGGTCAAATTTGCCAAATAGCTCATTCAACATATGGACCAACTCTCCAGGTGAGCAATCGGTGGCCAAACGGGTAAATCCAACAATGTCAGCATACAAAATACTGTAAGAGAACATAAATTTGCATGGGTGACTCAGGACTGGAAAAAAGACATACCGATTTATTTAGATGAACCTTTTTTATGCATCTGACACTGTTTAATTGCTTCGGACTTATTGTATTTCCCATGCAGCAGAACAATAGAATAATGCTAATGGCAATGTTCCCCTCAGACCATAACAGAATGAACCGCCACAAGAAAAGCACCCTCACAGTATTGTGTTTCTCAAGATCTCTGCATGTCTGAACGTGTGACACTTCATGTGACATAATCTTTTTGTATTCTTTTAAATCCCTGACCTTTTCATTTCTGTGCATTACAGACATAGAAAAGATTTCCTGCTAATGCTGCTGTCTCACAGGGAATGAAAGCTTAAATAACAAGCAAGAATTTTTGGCACTCCAAGATATTATGTTAAATAAAAAAGTCCTTTGAAAACTGAGAGACATTGGAACTTGATGGACTTGGTTACTTCATCGGAAGTCCACCATTTGAAAAAAAAAAAATAACATCTTGGGTGACTAAATTTGTTTATTCACAAACAGTCGAAACGGGAGGAATACAACTCATCTGCTCATTGCTCTGCACAGCAAAACGGCAAGAGTCAAAAGAGCTCAAAACTACATACATTTTTAATTACCCCCCAAAGCCCCAATCTCCCCCTGCCACCCCTGTGGTGGAAATTCTTCTTTTCTAGTTATATTATCAACACACCTGACATTAGTGTGACGTTGTACATATAAATTATGGAAGTTGTTGGTGTTTTCCACCTGACCAAACTTCGGCCCCTGTAGTCTCTGTATGATTTCAGCTTTCATCACTCGGGCAATGTGAGCAGGAAGCAGAGACAGCAACAGACGTTCCTGTAGCAAAAACACACCACAACAGGGGATGAGATAATTATATCTCACATGCACACTTGTCTGGCTTGTCTCTTTGATATGTGCAGCAGAGATTTGAGTCTGATATAAAAGCTTCTGTTACCTAAAAGAACTGCACACACAGCCTTCTTAACAAGAAGGTGCAAAGAAATAAGTGAAGAAACACATCCACTGTATCATTTACATGCTCTGTTCCAAAACCTGGAGAGCATTCAAAGGTTCCCAATATGAAGGCTATTCTAAAGGGTATGTAACTTTATTATGACCCCTAAGAATGTTTTAGTCAATAGGTTTTGTAAATAAATATATATATTAACCAATCAGTCAACTGTGAGGTTTCATGACAGTTATGATTTTGCCAAAGGGTCAGCTACCTACATGATAAAACATGATAACCTGCAACTGTTACCTTAAAGAGCCATTTTTACCTGATTTAACCCATAAAAATTTGTTTTGTTGGTATAATTACTATAGTTTGATTCAGGGGTACTAAATAGTATTCTTGGATTTGAATACAACTAGTTAAAATTAAGATTTGCCATTTTTAGGTTACAGTTTTCATTGGTTTTATGACTTTTGGAACTTGGATGTTTGTCTGGTGAATACAACAGTATCAATAATATTTGGGAAACTCTATAACTTTTATAAAGTCGCATTAAAAATGAATTAAGCAAGACCAAATCTGCAGGTGGTTAATTTAAGCATCACAGAAAATTCCTGCTGCACATTAGTTCTGCTATATTAGCCTTTCCTTACTGGAGCTCTTCAAGCAAATTATACCTTAGCTCACATTTATCACAGGAGATGTGAAAATCCATGAGTCAAAGGCTTCTGTAATGTGATATTCTTCTGGGATTGATATAATTGGGTTACGGTGGATTTTTGTGAAAAGGTAAAACTAAGATTACCGCATTCAATTTCAGATTTTATACGATTTCCTTACTAGGCATAAAGTGTGAATGAGTTTAATTAGGTCTAACAGGGATGGTCTGGAGGGTCATTATGAAAGCTTATGATAGCTTGTGCTACACGCAAGAGAAGGTTAATTGCCCAGTTGGTCTGGTACATTTCCCCTAATCAAACATAATGAACTTATAAAAATCATTTTACAATTCTGATCATTTTATTAGCAGCTACATAAAAGCCATATACATTAATTTACGCTGTGACAAATGCATCATTGTCCTCTTTTTCCACTAATTAATGTGCTATACGATGAATGTAGTATCTATTGCAATAACAACAACAGCAGAAAACTGTGCAACGTTGCAGTGGTAGCTGAGACCACTGAGCTGTGGAAAGCACAATTCATCACCCGTAGCCTGAGAGGATATTCTTAAGAGGTTAATCCAGAGGAGAGCAGAGAGGCAATGTTTGACCTCTCGCAGAGCATATACTGTTTTGAACGAGCGCACCTTTTTTTAACAACCAAAAAGTTTTGTTGTCTGTTGTGGAAGAACAGACGTTCCTCTCGTTGATAGCAGAGGAGCGGATCCAGCGAGAGCTTGATGGGGCGACGCGGAATGAAAAAGGTTTTTTTAGGAGTCGTGGTAGTAGAGGCGGCGCAACTATAACGACATGTGAATAATCCCGCCCACTCTAAAGCGGTACTGAACTGCAGTGGAAACGCAAACCGTGCCGAGCCGAACCGTGCCGTGCCGAGGCGAGTCGCACCACGCAGTGGAAAAGCGCCATTTGTGGCCCTGTCTAAACTGGAAGCTGAAAACCAGCATCACAGAAGTGTCCTGGTTTCCACTCATTAACAACTGGGCCGAGAATAGGAGACTGTAAAGTTTTGCAGTATCTCAAAAGGGACCCATTGATAACTTCATGTCAAACTTATGGAAAAGTAATTGTGGCTGAGAGTCTAGGCAACAAATCAAATTCAATAACATTGTGTCCTGAATAGGCATGATATGATAAAATGACAACTTATAAAAGCTGTGTAAATCTGGGTTTTTTGTTTTAACCAGATGGCTATGGAAAATCAAGGTGCAACACAGTGAAGAATATGGAAATGTTATTGTATATGTGATTATTCAATTTCTGTACCTGAGCACCTACAATCATAAAATCCTAAATCATTTCATTTGTATCTTTGTTCTATATATTCAGTGGTGTTATTGCTTGTAATTTGTTTACTGACTGTTCACTTGATTGAACTTTATAATTGTCAGGCTAGTAGTTTTGGCTGTTGTATCGAAATTGAAATCGAGAATTGTAAAATGTGATTTGTATCTAAAATATTGGTGTCATATAGGCCTAAGTTTATTTATTAGAATACAAGATAACGTAGATCAACAACAAGGATAAAGGCAACTATTTTCTTTTTGTGGCAGAGCCAGTGAAAATGCTGGTAGGGCAAGTAATAATTCGAATCACTGGCCCGACCAGGCCAGTAGAAAAAATCCTTAGCGTTGAGCCCTGCATATATATATATACAGTATATACTGTATGTGTGTGTGTGTGTGTGTGATCCTGGACCACAAAACCAGTCTTAAGTCGCTTGGGTATATTTTTAGCAATAACCAAAAAAACATTGTATGGGTCAAAATTATCGATTTTTCTTTTATGCCAAAAATCATTAGTATATTAAGTAAAGATCATGTTCCATGAAGATATTTTGTCAATTTCCTACCGTAAATATATTAAAACTTAATTTTTGATTAGTAATATGCATTGATAAGAACTTCATTTGGACAACTTTAAAGGTGATTTTCTCAGTATTTAGATTTTTTTGCACCCTCAGATTCCAGATTTTCAAATAGTTGTATCTCGGCCAAATATTGTCCTATCCTTACAAACCATACATCAATGGAAAGCTTTTTTTCATTTTATTCAGCTTTCAGAGGATGTATAAATCTCAATTTCAAAGAATTGACCCTTATGACTGGTTTTGTGGTCCAAGGTCACATAT